TGCGCGGTCCGGCCGCCGCCTGCCCAAGCGCCCGCCGTCTCGTTGCCGAGTCCCGAGCCGGCGCGGTGGCGTTGCTCCGGAGCCCACGGCCCCGGCGGCGCGCACCGCCTTGACCCCAGCGGACCCGCGGTCGGCAGACACCCGCAGTTTCATGGTTGGTTCGGAGCGCGATGAGACGCCCGTCCTCCACCGGCCCCAGCGCTAACAAACCCTGCAGCAAACAGCCGCCGCCGCCGCCCCAGCACGCTCTGTCTCCGGCTGCGCCCCCGGCCGCCGCCACCATCTCGGCAGCAGGCCCCGGCTCGTCCGCGGTGCCCGCCGCGGCGGCGGTGATCTCGGGCCCCGGCGGCGGCGGTGGCGGCGGTGGCGGCGGGGCTGGCCCGGTGTCCCCACAGCACCACGAGCTGACCTCGCTCTTCGAGTGCCCGGTCTGTTTTGACTATGTCCTGCCCCCCATCCTGCAGTGCCAGGCCGGGCACCTGGTGTGTAACCAATGCCGCCAGAAGTTGAGCTGCTGCCCGACGTGCAGGGGCGCCCTGACGCCCAGTATCAGGAACCTTGCTATGGAGAAGGTGGCCTCGGCAGTCCTGTTTCCCTGCAAGGTAAGGCCGGGTGCCACCTGCGCACCTCTGCCTGGCGATCTCCCAGAACTCCTGTGTCCTCCATCCCACTCGCCGGCGCTGAGAGGCAGGTGTCACCTCATTTATTTAAAATAAATGTTTACACTTTGTCCTCCTTTCTCCATACCCTACCTGCCCACTTTGGGAGTAGCTCTGGGCTGACGGTTGCTCGAGCACTGACCCCAGGCGAGTTGGCACGCGATTGTTGTTAGAACACATCACAGCTCTCCCCATGCAGAGCCTGTGAGCTCTGCAGATGTGTACTCGGGTGGGCCGCACAAATAAAACTTGGATGGAGAAGCAGACTATCTGTGAAGGTTTGAAATGGGAGGAAGTGGGCGAGCTACACGCACCCTTTACCAGCACTCAGTTTGGCAGGATTGGTACCGGATTTCTCCTGCACCCCGCACCTGCCATCTGGCTGCCCCTGACACGTGGGAACCCTCAGGAATATAGCTAAAAAGGGGGAGGGGACGACTACAGCCTGTTTTCTTTCATTCAGCAACAAGAAAATCCGTGCAAGCCAAGCCTTTCCCTCGTGTAGCCTTCTAAGTACTGGAGAGTTGTGTGTGTTTTTGCTAAGTGGGGTGAAAACAAAAGTTAATCAGAAATTTAACAAGAAAGGCACACAGGAGCTGTCGTTACAGTTCTTTAAGTATAAATACACTCATGCAGCTGAATTTAGAATCGGAGATGTCAGTGTGTGTCAAGAAGGTTATATATACATACATGTAGGCATGTTTGCTTTTGTTTTCCAAAAATGGCTTCTGCAGCTTGCTGTTTTAAATTCATATTATCACATATTTTTCTATGGTTGAAACATAGTTCTCCCTTGCTGTATTTTAAGTGGCTATATAGTATTGCATTGTGTGGTCATATTATAACATCTATTTACCTACATCTGTCACTTAAAAATCATAAGGTGTAATTTCAGAGATATACCTGTCTGTATTACTTCATTACAACCTAGAGCTATACCATAAAGTTCTTTTTCTAAACTTAGAAATGGAAATAATGTCATTAATACTTTTGAGTTTTTGTGTAAAAGTAACTGCTCTGCCTCTAGAGCCAGTTAGGCTGTCTTGCATTTCTCCTTGGTGCTGCTTATTTTTATAGGGCAAGAGCTTATTTTTAAATTAAAAATAATCCACCCGAGAATTGAAGCTTGGGACTCAAGTCAGTAAATGAGTGATTTAATTTGGTCTGTGCCCTACCACAGATAAGTTTAAAATAGCATATTCAAATAAGGGTTTGAATTCATGTTTGGACTGTGGTTTCTCTTTCAACCTTAACAAGTTACTCTATTTTCAACCACTCCTCATAATGCTTACAAATTTACCCAGTCTAATCAATAGTTGTTTCTCTTAATATATAGACAAACTATTTCTGTAATTTTCTTAGGATCATGAAGAAGGTGGTAGCCTAATGATCAAGAGAAGATTTGATGATAGTGACACAAGAGTGGATATTTGATGTTGGAGATGTATTGTGGGGGCTGGGTTACAGGGGGTGTGTGCCACAGGATTTCTGGGGAGCCATCTTCGCAGCCCTTCACTTTCCCCCAAACCTTCAGTGGGCAGTAGAAGAAATGGCTTTAGGTGACTTACAGTTCACAAATGAGTATTTTATATCAGTCAATATTCCATAATTTATTTTCAAAAAGCAATCTTCTAAGAGAATTATTTTGCTCCCAAGAGAAAGTGAAGGAAATAGTTATAACATGCTATCTGAACTGTGAAGTTTCTCTTTCAGGATCTAGGATTCTGGTTCCTATTGACATATATGTTCTTTCCAACATCTAACATGCTAGTGAAGTCTTTTTTGAAGAGTAGTTCTCTTGGGAATCAGTTACTCACCTTTCTCTATACATCATTGATTTTCCACATCCCTATTCTGTAAGAATGCAGTTGGGCAAAGCCAGCACTTTGCAAGCTGAAATTTAACAGGGTCAACCATTTCCCTACAGACCAGGAACCAAATTTAGAGAGTAATTAAAGAGTCGTGTGTGTGTGTGTGTGTGTGTGTGTGTGTGTGTGGTTTGCTTGTTTGTGTGTGTATGTCTGTGTGAGAGAGAGAGAGAGATTAGAGAGAGAGAGATTTTATAATGCTGGAGTACCATGTCTTACCTTTGGTTGACCAATAATCCAAGCTATTGACAGGGGAGGTCAGCCACTTAGTTTGACAAACGAAACCTGAATGTATATAGAGTCCCAACAAGCAACTAAGATATGTTAGTTGGGGAGGATGAGAGCAGGAAGGAGTAGTAAGGTCTATGTCAACTTCAACAGAATAGATCTGTGTACCTAGCCCTGTGGCTTGCACTTGCTGCTGGAAAACAAAGGGACTGCCTTGTCACTATCCCTATCTGCTCTTAGAATCTCTCATGGGGTGGCTTATGTGAGAAAACCAACTTTGGGTGAAATACCAGAGCCCAGGTCTCAAGAGTTGCTGGAGTTGCCATTGTTTGTCTGAGAGCATTTCTGGGTCCTTAATTTCTTCTTGTGTTTATGAGGGGGTGGGACTGCTCAACTTCTAAGGCCCCATAGCGTCCAACATTCTGTGAAGTGAAGGGAGATTATGTGGAATGCTTATTGGGTTCCTTCTGTATGCCAGCTACTTACTTTGTGTGGGTCAGCTTTTATTAGTTTGCCTTTCTTCTTTTTCAGATGAGAAAACTCATGCCTATAGAGAGGTTAAGAGTTAAGTGACTTGTCAAGATCGCACAGCTAATAAGTGGACCAGCCCGTGAACCTTCATCCCAAAGGCACACATCCTTTGTACTACTCACTATGTAGGGATTTTGAATCTGAGCTTATCTCCAAGGCTCCAAATCATAACTCAAGGTTGACACCAGTAACAAAACCATCTGGTTGGATAAATGCACCAAGTAGGCCTCTGCTGGGAACATCTCCAAAAGACAACAGACATGCTCACTACAAAATTCATTGGCAAGAATTTTGTAGGGCATGGAGTAGGAATATTGGAGGCAAAATAATCTACAAGCCTAATATTTGGGGGCATTTCATTACACTTCTGCACTGTTCATGCTTCAGTTGGCCCCAAGATGGATGTGTTGCCAAATAGCTTCCTTACATAGGTTTGGGGCCACTTAATTAAAGGCTAGAATGCTGCCAGCACCTTTGATAGAGGGCACCACATGCATTTCTAGCTCAGGTCTCCTTTTTAAAAAAGGATCTCTATCAGAGTATGTCTCTTTTCCACATGTGGTATTTTTAGTCCATTCTATGTCTTGTTCCATGCCTGAGAAGTTTGACATCCTGTTCCGCTATCTCAGACCCACCACCTCAGTGGAGCGTGGGTGTAAGAGAAGTGAAGATGACACCATTGTGCCCCCACTCAACATTTTTTTTAATATCCACCAAGTATTTCTCTCCACAACTGTGGAAAATGCTAAAACCACTGCAGCCCACTTGCACCATGATACATTTTCTTTCCATTTTTCCTTTTTCTTCTCTAAGAATTTCTAGTAGCATGTCTTTAAATAATTATTGAACTGGAAAGCCTCAGTCAGCAAATCTTCCCTGCACTCGGATTGTGAGGTGATGTTTTTGTTCCTTAAAAAAAAAGTAAAGTTAGATAACCCAGTTGAAAGTTAAACGCTCCCAGTGTGGACTCATCCAGTTCAATGGAGACAAGTTCTAAATACCAGGAGAGCATCATCAGGCCCGTAGCCTTGGGGTTGGGAGACATCGGACAGTGGAGCCGCTGGGGAGCTGGGGAGCACATGCCTCTCCGAAGGCCAACTTCTGCTCTGCGCTGGGTGATTGGCAGGGTTGGCAAAGTGTTTGCAGCCATGCCCGACCTTTGGGGTTTTTTTTTTA